GAAAAAGGAAAAAAAGAAAAGAGAAAAGAGAAAAGAGAAAAGAGAAAAGAAAAATGAAGAAGAAGAACAAGTACAAGGAGAACTAGGAGAACGATAAATCAACCACTCGACCTACGAGGAGTGGTTGTTCTCGGTGTTTTTAACGTTTACGAAACTTACAGTTTTCTTCGTCCGAAGTATCAGCCGGACCACAATTATATACGTCATTGCATCGAAGCGATTCTGCAATGCAGTATTTACTTTTGCTGCACAAGAACTGATTCTGGCAATCGGTGTTTGTGCTTATTTCGGTCCACGTTGCTCTAAATCCCTGTTGCCCTATCGCTTTATCGGCCAATATAAAGCTGAAAGAAAGTGCAAAAGCGAAAACAGGATCACGATTGGAGGACGCCGGAATAGAAGTAAAGTCGAGTGCACCTTTGAGAGAAACCGATCGAAGAGAATCTGTAACCAACCTGAGACGCATATTATTATCCTCCGACAGATAAGTCCAGTTGACGTTCGACGCTTTAACGCCGCAAAGCTCGACGGGCGTCGTCGACGCGGAATACCATACGCGTAGAACCGCGGCGGAACAGCCACGGACTAGGGAAGATGGAAGTGTGGTGAGTTGTCGAAGAGAAAGGTAGAGAGTGGTGTGTAAAAGCGGTTACGCGGCTCGACGACCTCTACTACCTGCTTGATCACCTTCCACCGAAAACAGCTCAAAGTACAACGCCACTCGCTGATTCTGTCCAACTCTTATGAACCAATTGCACGTCTTGCTAGCATGATTCTTTGCCGGTCCGTCGTACTTGTTCGGAAAGTTCGGGCTAGCGATGATGCCGTAGTTTAGGCTACTTATGTTCGATCCGCAATCTGCAAGGGGAAAAGCAAAAGAAAATACTAGAAAGGGGAAAAAATGGGTGGAGGGAAAGGGATGATCGGTGCCGCCCCCGGCATGGGCACACCACACAACCACCGTCTCCTCTGCCGCAACCGGGCAGTACCTCCGAATATAGGTTTGGCCACTTCGAACGTGTAACGAGCTTTGAAGCCGCTGTAAACCAGTTCGGAATCCGAATGCAGAATAACCCTTAAACCGAGAGCGCCGAGATTCGATTCGACGGGGCCAGGAGCTGTGCTGCCGCAATATCTGCCTATCAACTTTTCCGTATTGTCCCGATACATGTTGTATATTTCTAACCAATCGTCCTGGCAAGTCTCGATCCTGAGAACGCGACAATATTCGTTGCGAATGCGGCGCGTAAACGTAGACTCGGACGTGGACGCAGAGTTGCATCGAGTCGAGTGCGTGTGCGCCTCTCACTGCTCGCTTACCCGTAATGGCCGTCCGTCACGTTCGTGTTTTTCGTTCGAACTTTAAAGTAATCGAATATCAAAATCACTTGTTCGTTGGGCGTCGCCAAGAAGAAGTAGGTGCAGTTCGTGTCGCTCGGATAGTTGCTGGGATGTCGCGGCGAATTAAAGTCTCCTTTCTTTCGAGAGGAGCTGCGATAGGTGAACGTGCAGCTGCCGTCCGGTGCCGCTGTACCCGGTATTTTGTACTCCGTTTCGAAAACGTACCTGCAAACCACGGACGCGTTACTCTCTCTCTCTCTCTCTCTCTCTCTCTCTCTCCAAAGATGTCTCTCTAGAGAGTTCCGATTCTCTTACCGGGCTTTGAATCCTTGTCCTTGCGACTCGCCGCTACTAAAGACCATCACTAGTCGCGGTCCGTCGCTGACTACTTGGCTCGGACTACTCTCGAGACCGCACAACTCGTAATCGAATTTATCGTAAGAATCCGTGGCTTCCTGCCCTTTCAAGTACAATTTCAGATATCCATCGGTGCACGACGAACTAACAGTGCCGAGCAGGCAATGCAACAAGGAAAACGACCAGTTTAGTGGGATGCCCTTCTACGGCGGTGGTACACATGTACGATAATAAAGGACGCAACAAACAACACGATATGCATCTGTTAGTTAGCTGCGATTAAGAATTCTAGCCACACTTACTCTCCTATCGTCTTATTTTTTGGTATCTTAAACGAGATGAACTCTAATCGGACACGTTCCAGATGTTGCGCATCTTGCATTCCATAAATGAAATACCGACACACCACTTTCGGTATGTACGGGTATGGAAAGTTTGGGCTAACGACGTTTCCGGTGGTCTCCTTTCGACTTAAAATCTTCTGATCGCATTCCGATCCCCTGATGTGCTCACCCTTGTAAGCGGTTATGAAGTCTGAGTAGACAAAGACGACCGTGTACACGTACAACGTACGCACGCGTAAACATATGCATCAACAGCTGTGTCTAAATTAATCTAACAAACGATACTACTTATTTTTGCGGATCTGACATTAAGCGTGTGTAGCTCTGGGTTCGTGTACTTGTCCAAAATGGAGAGAGTCCGTGTCTTTCGGCATGCCGTCCGCGTTTCTGTTCGTTCGTGTTTGTGTGCGTACCAATGGCCACTACTTGTATTTATTCGAAAGCAAAGGAAAGAAAATTCACGAAAATTCACGAAAAGTAACGTAACGGACACGCGACAGCGAGAATTCGATCGGCACCGAGCAAAACATTTCGACTTACCTAATTTGACGAAGCTTTCGGAAAACTCAAAGATTCCTTTGAACCCACGATTCTGCGTGTTCGCTGTGCGTGGAAGCGTAACGAACAATACGAATAAGCTAGACTCCGACGAATACAAGACCAAATTCCTTTGTTGGCCGCAATACGTTCCAATTACGGCCGACGTGGCGTTCAAGCCGTCGTACACTTTAACATAGTCCAAGGGGCAGCTACGCGACACAGATCGCTTCGTTTCAGAATCTTTTCGAGTATATATCTAGACATATATATATAGTGTGTCTGGGTTAGGACGCGTAACGAGAGTATACGTACTGTGGACCTCCAAAGTACAAGTCGAAATCTCGAAATTCGAGACGCACCCGTTGGCTTCGCGTCCCGATAAATTGATAAGTGCACGTAAGATCCTTCGGATACGTGCCCGGATATGTCGGAGACAATATGTTACCGCTACGTTTGTTTTCCGAGTTTACCGTGAAGGAACACGGCGTACTGGGAGCCGGCGTTCCTACCTCGTATTCAGCTGCAAACGAATCTTACTTTAGGGATTTTTGCCAGATTTTCGAGTCGTGGATGCGACTGAAAAAGAAAACGGCAGGCAACGAAACTGGCGGGAACTGGCGGGAACTGGAGGGTATTCTAGATTAAACAAAGCGGAACGAAAGAAAAGGAAACGCGAAGAAACGCAACGGAATGAAACTGAAAACGTACAGGCATTGATAAACGTGTATCTACCGCCGAAGAGGCTGGGAGTCGTGATGTTCTTGTCGGTGTAGAAACTAAAGGCAATTCCTTGATAAAGGGAAATGCGTCTGCGAGGAGGAATGGGGCCGCAGTAGCGTCCACCGAACGGTGTTTCTATCAACTTGGTAGTGTTCTCCGAGCGTATTTCCGCGTACAAGTCCATGTACTCGTGCGAGCAACTGAAAATCATTCAACGTGTCGGATCGATCGAGATCGA